CTGCTGAAGGAGACAGCCAATCAGATCCAGTCCTTGCTCAGCTCTGTGGAGAGTGCTGTGGATGCTATTGACGAACAAACCAGTCAGATAAGGTTGGGTACATTTATCTGACCTTGAGTTCATCACACTGTTAATCTGCTTGACAACCTACTGCTGTTCTATGCGCCTTTTGTTCTTCTAGGAAACTTTAAACAGAGTGATGCTTGATGAGTGTGTTATCTCTGAACCTAAACTGCATCACTACCTCTGAGTAGTATGTTACCTTCCAACCGGTACTGTTTTGGACTGGGCTGTTCAAGCATAGGGGCAGTGTGGCGGAAGCCAAAGCAGGAGAATACAGGGAGTCTTTTCAGAGCTTTGTTGCCAAAAGAAGTCTCAGCGACTGGGGAAGATGAGAACTGGGGTAGGAGGAAGAAAGTTGTCTTGAAGATCTGTGGTTTCTCGTCTCTCAAAATTTTGCAAAAAATCTAGTAAAAGGGGAAACCAATTTAAAGCATTTCAAGAAGCACCAACTGAATTTGATGCGGTAAGCAGGAGTTGAAATGTCACAGAACTCCACAGAGCATAAAGCTTCTTGACCAGAACCCAAAATGGTTGCCATGGAAATGGGGGGAAATCAGAAGCTTGCATCAAGAGACTTCTCCTCCCCCTATTCTAAATTAAAGAAAGGAAGCAGCAAGTCACAAAGAAAGCAGCTTATTAGATCTTTCAATCCATTTGAATGATGCCAGATAAGAGATTCCATCAAGATCCTTTGATAGCAGCCCTGTGTCTAGCTTTCTGCCTTCAGTTCTCTAACATGCAGTATACCTTAACCCCATGTCTTGCCAGCCCAAGCCTGTGATTCAGAGTGGTGCTTGGGGAAGCACAGTATAATGGCAAGAGAATGCAGGCAAAGTGGTGACACTTCATGTTATGGAAAAGAGGAATTTACCTGACATAGGGCTGCTGTTTTCAGCAGTAGTCCTGTGGTTCTTATAACATGTAGCTGACACAGGGCTGCTATTTTCAGTGGTAGGCCTGCAGTTCTTATAACATGTAGCTGACACAGGGATACTGTTTTCAGTGGTAGTCCTGTGGTTCTTTATAACATGTAGTTTCTCTCTGTATCAAATGTGTCAGCAGTTATTCCTGTTGTATAGCTCTGGCTGAAGTGTTAACATTTTTTAAAACACTTAAAGGCCTGAGGGTGGAGGAGAATAGTGGAGCTTAGTTCCACCCCCTCTCTGGGCTAACTGTAGCTGACTGCAATAGATGCCTGACTGGAGTAATCTGGGCTGACTGCAGTAGATGCCTGCCCTCAGCCACCCCACTAGTTTCTCTCTGTGTCAAATGTGTCAGCAGTTATTCCTGTTGTATAGCTCTGGCTGAACTGTTAACATTTTTTAAAACCGGTGGAGGAGAAAAGTGGAGCTTAGTTCCACCCTCTCTCTGGGCTGGCTGCACGTAGATGCCTGCCCTCAGCCACCCCACTATTTCCCCTTTAAGTCTGAGCAATGGAGAAAACCCGGGAGCCGCACATATTGTGCTCTGAGTGAACTTGATGTCACGTGACACTCAAAAGAAAAGACAACTTCCTGCAGTTGAGGAGGGAAGAGGGAGCGAAAGGCAAAGGTTCATGTGAAAGGCACCAAAGTCACTTTCTCATAACACAAGCACCTGTTAAATGGGTTTCATGTGTGTCAGAGTGTTACCTTTAGGATTGATAGATGCAACAGAGCAGTTTTGGTTGGTCTCTAATGTGCTGCTGGACTCCACCCTACCTGTGTACCACAGACCAAAAGGGCTGCCTTGGAAGCTGTTTTAGTGACAATTACAAATGTGCTGCTGGACTCCACCCTACCTGTGTCCACAGACCAAAAGGGCTGCCCTTGGAAGCTGTTTTAGTGACAATTACAGGGACCTCAGCTCTGGACAGCAAGATGCTTTGTCTTCATTTTCCCTTCCTGCTCCCTCTTTTTCCTTAGCAAAAAGCCGGCTTTTTTCCTTTTACAGTAAGTCTGAAATGTTTCTAGGGTTTCCCCTTCCTTTCGGTTCCCCCTGTCCTGCTCGTTGCTTTTGTTTTGTTTTTGTTTATTTTCTTTTAGCAAAAGCTGCCAGTTGCCAGCAGCAGATGTATATTCATGAGGATTACTGAGCAGGGCAGGCTTGAGCTCCCTGCATTGCAGGGGGAGACGATGCATCGGCCAGCCCTCCACTCTCCAAGTATAGACATAACTTACACCTCTGGTGCAGCAGTTTCATTTTTAGCGAAGGCACAGTTGCCAAACCCATCTGGGGGGGGGGATGACAAATCTGTCCCCAAAGCACAGCCAAGCAAGTGCAAAGCAAGAAAACATCCAACTGTCCTTGTTCGCAGTTAGGAGATACACTGCAGGTTAAGAGTAAGTTTGGAATACGTGGTTCAGAGCCCCAGCATTCATGGGGCTCCTGTAGGAAGACCATCTAAGAAAACACAGGACATGTTTCCTTCCTATAACAGAAAAACTCAGTGGTATGTGCTGAATGTCTGTGTTGGATTGTGACTATAGCGTATGCCCATAATGCAAACAGTTGTGATCTCTACCTCTTGGTCTTGTGCTATACCTTAGTTAGGATTTTTAAGCTGATAGGATGTTTTAATTGAATCAAAGAGCCTTTCTAACACATTTCTAACACATTGGCCAGGTCTTCCATCAGAACTGGACCCATCGACTGTTGATGTGAATCTAAGGGCTGATCCATACAATACAAAGGCCTTGAGGCCACTACAACTAGGTATCACACTACACTAGAAGTTCTGTACCTCCCAGGTGTGTGGGGCCTGGTTTCCGGAGACCACAGCACTCATGGAGAAGGGATATCAGTAGGGTTGACAACCTCCAGGTGTGGCCTGGAGATCTCCCAGTATTACAATTGATGTCCAGACGACACAGATCAGCTCCCCCAGGATAAAATGGCTGCTTTGGAGGGTGGACTCTATGGCAGGGAGTCAAACGAGTCCTGGGGGCCGGAAGCAGCCTATCCAGGGCTCTTATGTGGTCTGCGAGCAACTAGTGCAAGGGAGGGAACAGGAGACTGGTTGGGGGGGGAGTGGGTGGAGCCACTGATTGTGGCTTCAGCTTGGCTGAACAACCTCATCTGCAGCAGTCAAGCAGTCTGCCCATATGGTTTTTCTTCTGCATCCCCCTCCCAGCCCATGGGACCTTGCAGTGAGGATAGACCAACTCGGCTACCAGCTGCTGTCCTTTATACAGTTTCTATCTCTGGTACCTGGCATTACATTTTATGGCACACATGGCCTGGCCCGACAAAGTGACATTTATGTCAGATCTGGCCCTCGTAACAAATGAGTTCGACACCACTGTTCTATGGCATTGTACCCTGATGAGGTCTCTCCCCTACCCAAAGCCCGCTCTCCCTTGGCTCCACGCTCCAAATCTCAAGGTATTTCCCAATCCAGAGCTGGCAGCCCTAGACATCAGCCTCTCCACCCTCCCAATGCATATATCTTTATCACATACTGCAGCAGCCCAGGGAAGGTGATATTTGCTCCTTGGAAACTGGTAAGTAATGACAGCTACATGTAAGTTTCCCGATGGAGAAACAGCAGCTCCCCAGGTTTATTTTAACTGTACCCTCTTCTCCATCTGCTCTGCAATTGGAATACGGCCCCTGTATGCCTGATAAGCACAGAACTCCCAGTACACGTGTGATTCGAAGCCCTTGTGGCAGCCCACAAAGACAAAGGAGAGCCAGTTTGGTGTAGTGGTTAAGTGTGCGGACTCTAATCTGGGAGAACGGGGTTTGATCCCCCACTCCTCCACTTGCACCTGCTGATGTGACCTTGGGTCAGTCACAAGCTCTGGCACGGCTGTTCCTGAAAGAGCAGTTTGTGTCAGAGTTCTCTCAGCCCCACCTACCTCACAGGGTGTCTGTTGTGGGGAGGGGAAGGGAAAGGAGTTTGTAAGCCACTCTGAGACTCCAAGTGAAGGGCGGGGTATAAATCCAATCTTCTTCTTCTTTGTATTTTGTGGATCAGTCCCATGGGGGGGAGTGTTTGCTCTGAACTGGATATCTTGGAATGCAAATTCTTGGCTCTGGTACACCGAGCTTGCTGTGCTTTGAGATCTTCACTGATTTTGCTGAGGTAGCCTCTGTCTTTGCTGGCTAACTCAATAAATTGAGAAGGATTGATTGTGAGGGAGAATAAATTGATTTTCACAAAAGCTTCATCCGTCTTCAAGTACAGCAGCGCATCACCTGCCATGCACTTTTGCATTTATTTCTTAAATTATGTTTGTTCTGAGTGTGTGTGTTTTTTCCCCTGTTTCTCTAAATCAATCCATCCTTATTTAAGAATATTCTTGAGCTTGGCCCCAGGGATTCAGAAGCAGAGGCAGGAAAACATATCATTCTACTGCATGAACAAGATTAAGGTTTTATGGTAAATTTGATGAGCCCCTATATTAAATGATAAAAATTGTGCTTTTAGGATTCACAGCCGCTCTGATTTATATCCCTTGATCCTTATACAGACATATATATAGATACATGAAGGTACTTAATACTGAGTCATACCACTAGTTCATTTAGCTCATTTTTGCCAGCTCCAGCTAGCAAGGCCTATCCAGAGCCTCAGGCTAAGAACAGTCATTCTTGACCCTTGATGCACGAGATCCTTTAAACTGGGAATGCCAAGGATCGAACCTGGGACCTTTGGAATTCAAAGCTGATGCTCCATCTCTGATCCATGGCCCCATTAGGAGCTCCTTATGAATATATGTAGCAGCCTTTTATCAAGCCAAGGCGTTGCTCCACCTAGTTTAGGATTGTCTACTCTTCAGTAGCTCCCCAGGGTCTCATGCAGGGCAGGACTTACTCATCACCTGCTACCTGAAATCCTTGAACTAGAGATGCCAGAGATTGGAGCCGGACCGACATGCAAAGCTCATCTTCTGGCATTGGACTGTATCCCTCCTATAGGCTATGAGGTATTCAGTACAGAATTTGTATGCCACTGTGCAATCGAGTCAGATTACTTGGAGAGGGTTCATCTCATCTGGATGGCAAACATCTTCTTGGCATACCGAAAAAATCCCGGTTCAATCCCCAGCTTCTCCAGTTAAATAATCTGGAAGAAGGGGGAAGGGAAAACCTCTGGCTGAGATTTGTGGCAGGTTGCCAATCAGACTAGACAATACTGACCATATTAGCCCAATGGTCTCACTTAATATAAGGCAGCTTCATGTATATGAATGTGCTTGTTTTCCTGTGTCTGAAGGATGACATACATTGGATAAAGTTGCCAATGGTTCGGAGCACATCCCAGATCAGCAGAACGGCAAACAGTCATGATGGAGCGAGTCTTGGAGTAGAGCTTGGTCTCTCTCTTCCCTGTGGCCAACAAATGAGAAGATCAATAATTGCTTCCTTCTTGCTTGCATTTTATGGTGCTCTGAATAACAGGAGAGAAGCAAATGATTGCCTCTACTATTGCGATCCAGCGGGTTTTCCTCCAGGCTGTATGGATGGATGGTTAAAGAGGTGAGATCTTTCCCAAGACATTATTTGGCCGTGCTGCACTGCCATGGCTGATCATCAGGCACACCAACAGGGTCTGATTCGGTGACTGTCTGTGAAATTATGTAACATCCTCTTAGTACTTTTTTTTTTAGCTTTTCCCCTCTATTTTTTCCCCTCCAGTTCCTATTTTTGAGCTTATCTGACAGATACATTTTTCATCTCCCCTGCATAAATCTTCCACAGATGTCAAGGATACTGACTTATCTTGGTGAGGAGAGTAGACAGGAAATTGTTCCCTTGGCAATTAACGGTGCTGAATGTCGAGTTATCTGCCCACTTGTAGGCAGGCTGGGAATGAACACGGGCTGGCAGCACAGCCTAATCAAAGATTTGGAAGGCCTATCAGTCGGAGAGCATCCGTCTTTCATCAGTATAGTGGGTCAACATTGACATGGATGGATGTCAATAACTGATCTGCTCAACCCGTTTTGCTTCCAGTAGTTATCTAAGCAATGATTTGGTTAGATTTCAGAATTCAATGCTGACTTCTCTGGGCAGGTTTGTGTTTAACTTTGGCTGGATCACAGCCCTGGTGGTGGCTTTGGTACAGTCTGGAAAGCTATAGGGGTGGGAGAGTAGAATGAAAACTGCACAGGTGGGGCCATGACTCCGTGGTTGAGCATCTGCTTGGCATGCCAAAGGTCTTAGGTTCAATCCCCGCTATCTCCAGTTAAAAGGATCAGGTTGTAAGTGGTGTGAAGGACCTCAGCCTGACACCCCAGAGACCTGAGGCCAGTCCAAGTTGACAATACTGACCTTGATGGACTGATGGTATGTGTGCAGTGGTGTGCAGTTCTGAAGGCCTCACTTTGAAAAGGATGTGGACAGAATGGAGTGGGTGCAGAGGAGAGTGACAAGGATGATCAGGAGCCTGGAGACCAAGCCCTATGAGGAAAGGCTGAGGGACTTGGGAATGTTCAGTCTGAAGGAGGTTGAGGGGGGACATGATTGCTCTCTTTAAGTATTTGAAGGGCTGTCACTGAGAGGAGGGCAGGGGGCTGTTCCTGTTGGCAGCAGAGGATAGGACTCGGGGGCTCTACTGGTAGCAGGAGCTCCTTTGCATATTAGGCCACACACCCCTAGTGTAGCCAGTCCTCCAAGAGCTTACAGTAGCCCCAGTAAGAAGAGCTCTGTAAGCTCTTGGAGGATTGGCTACACTAGGAGGGTGTGGCCTAATATGCAAAGGAGCTCCTGCTACCAGTAGAGCCCTGGGACTCGCAATAATGGATTTAAAATGGGACTGTAGGACCCCTGTGGGCCAATTGCCGTGTGGGTGGGGAGGCTGCAGTGGACAGATGCTCTAGGCTGATCCTGCATTGAGGAGGGGGTTGGACTAGATGGCCTGCATGGCCCCTTCCAACTCTCTGATTCTATGATTCAGCGTAAGGCACTTCAATATGTACATGACCACCTCTAGCTGATCAAACTGTGTTTGGATGCACAGTTGAAAGGTGCATAATACATCATCCTTGATCAAACTAAGCAAGCCTAGATCTAATCAGTGCTCAAAAGAGACCTTCTGGAAGCCCCCATGTACTTTGCCTTGGGTTCCATGATGGAAGATGGGTTGTCCATGTAATCGTTAATCCACAAGACTTCCTGTAACTGGCATATGTTATATATGCTGTAAAGTAGCAATTATCCTGCCTGGGGTTTTACACTCTCATCCAATGGAACATTGCTGAGCGGATAGTCACAGTCTTAAGGGAGCTCTGTTCTATTGCAGTCCCTGTGCAAGGATATTTTAACGTCATGGCCTGGGGCTGCTGGGCTAAGGGGCACCTTTCTTGTAGAGCAATTTTTAAACCGTAGATCTCTGACGGGGAAGGGAGCCCAAAAGATCAATTCAGGTGTTCTCTCTCTTTTTTTAACAATATCCTTTATTATTTATAAACCAAGCAAGTACATCAATGAACAATTATAATAAACAAATTTAACTACAACAACAATAACTACAAAGCTATATCCCAGTGCAGATACACAAAAACTCATCCAAGTAAATAACATCTTTAAGAATACTAGAGGGTAAATGCATCTACAAGCAAAGAGGTATCTGGCAGTTTCCCTTCAGAGACCATATAATTTCGGTATGGCCATCATATTTCCACAAAGCCTGAATGGTCCTCCCTAGAGTTTATACAACTGTTAATACAATAAACTATCTTCTACATAATATAAGGAGCTGCGGTGGCTCAAGTGGTTAAGACGCTGAACTGCAGGCTGTGGAAGGTCAGTAGTTCAGCTGTTCGAGACCCGGGTGCCGCAAGACGGAGTGAGTTCCCATCTCTAGTTCCAGCTCCTGCCAACGTAGCAGTTCGAAAGCAAGAAATTGCAAGTAGATAAATAGGTACCACTTCGGTGGGAAGGTAACAGCGTTCCGTGCGCCTTGGTGTTTAGTCATGCCAGCCACATGACTACGGAAATGTCTTTGGACAGCGCTGGCTCTTCGGCTTTGAAACGGAGATGAGCACTGCAACCCTAGAGTCGGATTCGACTGGCTTTCAAGCAAGGGAAACTTTTACCTTTACACAATATAAATATTCCATAATGTATCAAACTACAAGCCAATTGTTGGTGGGTGTTCAGCCTTTCATTGAGGGGCTATAGCCTTGCTAGCTGCCGCTAACAAGAGTTCTGTAAGTCTCAATGTAGACCTTTGTATATTAAGTAATTCAAGTGTTCTTTCGTGTTTTTGTTCTTTCTCCAATTGCAGACACTTGCACAGTAAAACTGGCCACAGTGTCATGGACACCTGGTATGACAACCCTGTGCCTAATTATGCCCCCAACAACAGAATCATGACCAAAGAGCGCAGAAAAAGTTTCCAAACTGGTAAGGGGTTTTTTTAATCCCAGGAGACCATCCTTTGTTAAGACTGTTAATAATGCTAACAATTTG